CACGCACTCCACCTTCTAAGGAAAAACCGCCAAAATAGTCGCTTATTTTGATGACATGGTTGTTAGTGGTCAGTTGTCTCTATTGCCCACACGCCGCTTCGCCCACGAGATCGCCCCCGGTACCCAGGCGTCGCGACCACTTCTTACCATGCAACCATGCAACGCGAAGAGCTGTTACATGCGTCTGAAAAAATACTTTACCGGGGGGAAAAAAACAAGTAAACAAGCCCTAACCTCAGAACAGATCGATTCACAAGAGTGCTATAGGAAATGCGGCCTCCTAGATTGAGCAAAATCTATTCTTCGTTTGACTCATTTGCACCTTTCATGTCTTTGCGCCCTTGATGAAATGATTTCCTAAAATGAAGAGATTGCTGAAAGATGTATTCTAGAATTTGAACGTGGCTCTGTCAAACGGATGGCCGGGCGGTTATGATACTTGTTACTAGCATCTCCGGACTATTTCAAGTTTACAAGTACAAATAATTGTATCTAAAAGCAAAAGTAGTCGCTGACGAATCATGTTTCGATACAATTTTATAGAAATAAATCTTCTTCTGTTGTCAATATTTCCTTTTTGGCTCTGAGAGTTGCAGTTTAACTGATTATAGATTGACCAGCCAGGGCGCGGTCGGTTACCTGTTATAATGTGATGTTGTGAAGTTTAAGCTGTCAGTAACTCTTTCAGTCCCTCTTCTTTCTGGTCATCCTCTGTACCTTGGTGTGTCAATTTTCATGTTGTACGCTCTCACAGGCGGCATCGTTGGATTCCTTCTCAATAGGCGGTTGAGCTATTTCAGACTTTGTTTCTTAATAGATTGCATTCATAGTTCGTCTAATATCTTTGTTTCTCACATGATCTCTTCTGGTTTTGTTGGCAGCCTAAAAAATCCTGTTACCTTTGTGATTATTTTTCACTCTTGTTTTTTTTTTTTTTTTTTTTTCCGGACAGGAAGAAACTAGAATATATGATACAAACCGGAAAACATGATGAAAAAACAAGCAAGGCAAAAAATAAAAGGGTAACAATATTCTAATTTCGTTGCCAATTGGCTTGTGAGCTGAAAAGAACACTATCCTAATATATGATTTTTTTTTTCTATGAGTGTCAATCAATACTCTGTTACTATTGTTAACCGCACTATCCTCTGTTTGAAACCACAGGGACGCCGGTTACAGCTTTCCCACGCCACGTCAGCTTCTGACGCAAACAAAGAATTACCCTTCTAAATTTAAAGCCGGGCCCACGTCTAGTGGGTTTTCTCAACATGTATTCTGTCGACTCCAGCCACTGTCCACCCAGTTGAACTCTGACCTCTCATATGGGAGCATGGTTTATCCATCTGCAAGACGTCATTGCCAAAGCGGGGAGTCTCTAACAACCATGTTGATGACGTGGAAAGGGTTTTGATTTGAACTGACTTGTTCTCAAGAGACTTCAACCTGCGACAAGCCTCTTCCAAATAGCTCAGTAAACAGCCATGTTTGCAGAACTGATTTTTAAAAAATCACGAAAATCGTGGGAATAGTACAAACTTAGAGAAGCTCAACCAGCAGCAGGGAAATAGAAAAACAGGTCACAATAACACGAATCCAAGGACGGGTTAGGCAGAACTATTTAAGTGACCAACAGGTTACCCACAACCTGGTGATTTGTCTGGACCTCACTTCGTAAGTTTAGCAGTATACTTTCTTTGTTAGCGATTTCCAAATTGCAATGTTTGTCGTATGTTTTTTACTCGTCTTGTCGTATGCGTGTTAGTAATGCATAAGTTTATTAGAATACTGTATTTAGTATGTTACTCTAGCTTTATTTGTTTTCCTATTTAGCAATTTTTTTTTAAAAACGTTTTTTTTTTTTTTAAGTTTTATTTCTCTGTGACATGCAACTATAAACATAGAAAGATCAATTACTATTGATGCCTGAGATCACTGAAATAACACATGAACTCGATTTATGGGTAGTCACTAGTAAAGCAAATCAAATGTTTTGTCCACTTAGAGACACCGGACGGTGAACCCCCACACCAACCAAAGCGTACACCAAAACATGAGGAGGAGGTAGGGCATACGGTAGATCAGGAACAAGACAAAGAAAAAAGAAATAACTCAGATAAATTCTACAACAGTACATTTTGTCTGTTCTAGAGGCAACAAGAAGAGCCAGAAGCAGAACTTTATATCTCTCTCAAAACCCAAAGCGGTAAAATAAGAATTCAAACAGGGCAACGGTTTGCACGCTTTAGGCGTTTCTCTCGGGGTCGTAGGTGTCAGCGCTAGGTAGGAATCAAGCTTCAGCGGTTGATGATCTTTGCTTTACACAACAAATCAATTAGTTTTCAACTGGAGCTAATAATTTACCGCCTATCCAGTGACACTGATGTTGTTTTTTTTTTTTTTTAAAGTAGTCTAGGCGTACTATGTTACTAGCTTTCTCTCTGTCTGTCTGTCTGTCTCTCTCTCTCTCTCTCTCTCTCTCTCTCTCTCTCTCTCTCTCTCTCTCTCTCTCTCTCTCTCTCTCTATCTATCTTTTTCTGTCTCTCTCCCCTTCCTCTCCCCATTCCCTTGTACAACTCTAAGCAAAATCCACCACGTTTCGTTTTACATAACGTTGCCGAACCAGCCCCCAAATACTGCAGCTTAATCGAAACTCTTATTTCCGAATTACGAAGCGCATTTACTACGCCCAAGCCTCAGAAACCGGGGCTCTTAGTCGGCTTCAAAACCTCACGCCTTTGGAGTTGGTCTAACATCCCAGGCACCACAACCTTCTTGTCTATTTCCTTTCATCTACACTCCGTAACGGGAGCCGCTCAGGTCTAGCAGCTAGACGCTCGGCTGCGGATCGGAAGGTCGTGGGTTCGGTTCTTGATGAGGCCAGGATTCCTTTCAATAATGAGCTTGGTTCCCAGGTCGACCCAGCCTTGAGCGGGTACCAGGTACAGTCCTGGGAAGTAAAGGCGGTCGGTGTGATGACCAGCAAATCACACCACCAAGTTCCGTTTGGTCTATAAAATATAGTAATAGCCCTCAGTACCCAAAACGCATGAAAGGTGTGGAAAAGAGTCTGTTACTGTATTTATTTACCACTCCGTATCTCCCCCCCCCCACCCCACCCATTTTTGCTGCATCCTCCCAGAGTCCCTCTCGCTTCAGCAACGCTCACCTTCTTTGAGACGTCTCACAGAGTTTAAACCGCGTGTTCTAACTAACCTTCTTCTGTTAAATTCAAACTAGCTTCTTGCTGGCCGTCTTGAACAATGCATGTTTAAATTGATCACTTGCAGATCGATGACTTGATGGGGCAACGGCCTGTGTACAAAGCTCAGCCGTTGCAGGCAATCTTGAAATGAGAATAAACAGAAAGTGCGAGACTTTTGTCACTTGGGGTCTTTATGGATGTGGCTGCCTGGGGCTTAGGAGCGTTTTTGTGTGGACTTGTTGGTGCGTGAGGCTTAGGGGATGTCAGTTGCAGGACCTTTGGGGTCTTCTATATAAGTATTGTTTTATAAAGCATATTTCCAGGATCTAATAATAGAATCGTTTTTTTTTTAATCCTTGGAACGTCTCTTAGCAGAATGTGTCTAATATAGTGCCATCTTCTCTGTCTTGTTACTGTTGATAATAGTGGTTGGGTGCTCCCGTTTTAATTCACCCCAAACAAAGGAGATCCAGGAGTTTCCGGAAAAACCAATGCGTGGTTTGAAATGAACACTGAAGCTATTTTCTTCTTCGCGTTCGATGCTGTAAACTCTGGTTTTAGGTTCTTATTGTTCGTCCAATTTTGGACTGCAGCCTGTTCCAAAACCTGATGCGTGTGCATCCGTTTTACAGACCTGACTCATTTGTATATAGACTGCTGGTTCCTTGCCTCTCAGGCAGATGCACTCCGACTTTGAAGGAAGCTCTCAATTAGTCTACTTTCACGACATGCTTGTTGTGGAGGCAATGGGTCTAATCTGGTTTTCCCCCACAATTGGGCCATAGAACCTACACGGGGATGTTCGAGAATCAATGTCAAGGTCGCGTCTGCAAGGCATTTTTCGTCTAGGTCACTATCAACTTATAAACATAATCTTCATGCCATAATGACGTGTTCAAACACGATTCGACTATTCTTGAAACTTTCATAAGACACCTCGTTCGTCCCAATATGGGACGCAACTTTTTTGTTATTTCACTTTTATTCTTAGAAAGTTTCCAAGTAGAAACACAAATCTGGACAATAATCACAGTAGGGAAAAAAGGCTTCAATGTATGACCTTTGAAGATACAGCAGATATTGTACTGTTTAAAAGAAAACAAATCTGGAATTATTTGGAAAGCTCTGAGCAAACATGAAATAAATAATAACATACCATCTGTTGTGATAGATGGAGACATTTTAATTTTAATTGTCACAGCTGCATGATGCTCGACGTAAGTTACATGCATCAAACATTTGTATCTACGCCCGTCACACAACATCGAAAAGGCAATAATTATTTTTAAAAAAGGCCAACTTACCGAAAACAATCATAACAACTGGAACACTTTTTAATTGTCACACTTTGTGTCTTATTTTATTCGTTACGTCCTTCTTAGCACGTAATTTTTTGTTATTTGAAGCCCCACTCTAGCTTTTGCCAGGGGCCGCAAGATAGGCAGGTCATCATTATGGCCAAATGTCTGAACGCGGTTTCTGGGACCTCTCCACGGTGATCCTCATCCGCATGGTGGCACTTTGTGTCATCGGGTGTTTATCGCTTGTGTGATGTCCTGGTGGGGTAGAAAGTCAGTCAGTCACTTTGTGTCACTAGGTGTGTGCGGTTATGGTTGGGTTGAACCTGTCAGTCAGTCAGTCAAGATACCTCACATTGGGGCACCAAACAGTTACGACAAAGCCTGTAGTTTTGAGCTGCATGATGCTCGACGTAAGTTACATGCATCAAACATTTGTATCTACGCCCGTCACACAATATCGAAAAGGCAATAATTATTTTTTAAAAAGGCCAACTTACCGAAAACAATCATAACAACTGGAACAAGCATGGAGAGGCCGACCGCTGATGTGATCAGTGCTTGAATAAAGAAGGCAAAAAAATATACAATTTTAAAATGTAACAAGAAAATATTATGGGAACATTTTAGATGTTTTATCCAAGATCTTTTTGAACATAATATTACCCAATCTATTCACTTTTTATAATGAAACAGTAATGCTATCCATAACAATTATTAACATCAGTGTTATTTGTTGCGCATAATGTAAACATTTTGCTGCACAATGGTGAGAAGAGAGACATTAGAGAACATTACAGCAGACCAAGTGAGATGCTGCACTTAGTAACAGTGTTTTGGTGTCCCAATTTAACTAAATGTTTCTGACCCAATGGATGTATTACAAAGGCGACATGTCGGTAGTTGATCAGTAGTTTCAAGCCGAGCTAGAGGGAAGCACGTTGCTGTAACTACATCGGCCATGCACTCAGAATGGACAAGAGAGGTCTCCTCCATGAAGCACTTCTATAGACACTGGAAGGGAAGCGACAACGGGGAGACCAAGAGAAACCCTGGGTAGAATCATCATCAGCGAAGGCTCAATCGTGAGCCTAATGAACATCCAGGACCTAAAACAGGGGAAAGCTATAACCTCTGCCCTATGCGCCGCATTAGGCTCAAGCAGAAAGACTAACTAGCTAACTAACCAATATAACTGTACTGTATGGCTGTAGGGTTGAACAAGTTCACAAGGGTTGAAGTTAGCTGATTCTCTTTCTTCAGATGTTAATTCTACAGATTGCTGTCCTGGAGTGGGAAAACTAGAAAAAGCCTATGGTATCAACGGAATCTCTAGCAGGATACTTGGCCATCTGTCACAACTGATTCTTCTTCTTCTTCTTCTTCTTCTTCTTCTTCTTCTTCTTCTTCTTCTTCATCTTTTTCTTCTTCTTCTTCTTCTTCTTCTTCTTCTTCTTCTTCTTCTTCTTCTTCTTTTTCTTCTTCTTTTTCTTCTTTTTCTTCTTTTTCTTTTTCTTTTTCTTCTTCTTTTTCTTCTTTTTCTTTTCTTTTTCTTCTTCTTCTTCTTTTTCTTCTTTTTCTTCTTTTTCTTCTTCTTCTTCTTCTTCTTTTTCTTCTTCTTCTTTTTCTTCTTCTTCTTTTTTTCTTCTTCTTTTTCTTCTTTTTCTTCTTCTTCTTCTTTTTCTTCTTTTTCTTCTTCTTCTTCTTTGCGTTTAATGGCTGTAAACTCCGGCGGAAAGTTTGGGTTGTTTGTCCACCTCTGGACTTAAGTATTGTTCCTGAACCTGACTGTTGCGTGCACATCCGTTAAACAGATCTGACTTAATTGTATTCAGAAAGTTGTAATCCTCCAGTTGCGCTTAGGCATAAGCCAGCTCTCTCCACGTCGTCATGTCCTTTTTTATCGTATACAGATCACCCTATGTCTTCTTTATCTTTTTAACTGTACTTTTCTGTGTTTTGTGTGTCTAACGTTTTTAAGAATTTTGATTTAAAGCGTTTCTAGTTATATTGTTTTCCGGTACTCCCGTTTTCTAGATGTGTGTCCTGTCTAACGCCAGCGTCTTTTCCTCACCACACGATTCACTCTAATTTGTCAAGTCTATGGCAAAACTCATCAATAGTGATTCATTCATGCCATTTAATTCCTAATTTAGGTTGCATAGAACATGGAGCACTGATTAATTTTAAAAAGCCGTCTATATGTGTGTTTTAACTAAAGACCGCAGGACCCTGTAGACAAACTTAATGTGTTGTTTGGGAATGAATGAATGTACGTTACCATTACCACGACTTGTGGCATCTAAGAAGTCGCTGCATCGATTCTCGTTAACTTTCTCCTGTGATCTTACCACGATCATCGACCCGTATTCTTAACGTGCCATTCTGCAATTATGAACAGAGGTTTGAACCGGCTTGTTCCCGCTAAGCTTCTTAGTGTTCGTGTTGTTCTGTTGGGATTTTCTAAGGGGATGAAAGCAAGGCAAAGTGGTGGTTCTAGAATGTAATGAACATTGTTTCTGGGGTTGTTGTTAGCAGATTTGATCCCCTGTACGCTGCACACAGACGTTTAATCAGTTTTTAAAGGCGAAGGCGCTGAGTTTTCTTCTTTCTCTTCTTGTTCGTTGTCTTCCTTTTCCTGCTCACTAATACCCATCTCTTGTTTATCTACTAATACTTCTGCAACTTTTAGGAATTCTTCCCTTTCTTCTTCTTCTTCTTCTTCTTTTTCTTCTTCTTCATCTTCTTCTTCATCTTCTTCTTCATCTTCTTCTTCATCTTCTTCTTCATCTTCTTCTTCTTCTTCATCTTCTTCTTCTTCTTCTTCTTCTTCTTCTTCTTCTTCTTCTTCTTCTTCTTCTTCTTCTTCTTCTTCTTCTTCTTCTTCTTCTTCTTCTTCTTCTTCTTCTTCTTCTTCTTCTTCTTCTTCTTCTTCTTCTTCTCTTCTTCTTCTTCTTCTTCTTCTTCTTCTTCTTCTTCTTCTTCTTCTTCTTCTTCTTCTTCTTCTTCTTCTTCTTCTTCTTCTTCTTCTTCTTCTTCTTCCTTCTTCTTCCTTCTTCTTCCTTCTTCTTCCTTCTTCTTCCTTCTTCTTCCTTCTTCTTCCTTCTTCTTCCTTCTTCTTCCTTCTTCTTCCTTCTTCTTCTTCTTCTTCTTCTTCTTCTTCTTCTTCTTCTTCTTCTTCTTCTTCTTCTTCTTCTTCTTCTTCTTCTTCTTCTTCTTCTTCTTCTTCTTCTTCTTCTTCTTCTTCTTCTTCTTCTTCCTTCTTCTTCTTCTTCTTCTTCTTCTTCTTCTTCTTCTTCTTCTTCTTCTTCTTCTTCTTTCTTCTTCTTCTTTCTTCTTCTTCTTCTTCTTCTTCTTCTTCTTCTTCTTCTTCTTCTTCTTCTTCTTCTTCTTCTTCTTCTTCTTCTTCCTCTTCTTCTTCCTCTTCTTCTTCTTCCTCTTCTTCTTCTTCCTCTTCTTCTTCTTCCTCTTCTTCTTCTTCCTCTTCTTCTTCTTCCTCTTCTTCTTCTTCCTCTTCATCTTCTTCTTCGTTTTCTTTTCTTCTTTTTCTTCTTCTTTTTTTTTTCTCCTCCTCCTCCTTTTTTTCTGTTCCTATCCCCTCAGCATTTATCGGCTGTAAAGTTCCGCTGAATTAACAAATGTTCGTCCACTTCTGTAATTTGGTCTTGCTGCAGATGTTGAGTTTTTTGTGCACACCTGTTTTACTTTATTGGTTTATTTGTATCGGTATGTTAGTTCCTCTCCTCTCAGACAGAGTCAGCCTGACCACGAGGGAAACCCCCTAATCAGTCGATTCAAAGTCTGTTTTGCCTACCTGTACAATTACTGGGCATATAGGGCTACACCTTTGTTGTATAGACGAATCTGTACTCATTGAGTAAAGTGATCAAAACCATGCCGGCCGCATTTACTTCCATTGGTTTTACTTGCTACCCATTTAGAGCTTTGTCGAACCGAGAGCCAGGGTCATTTAAAGCAGGGGAAAAAGCCTGGTTCTATTCTGATTTGAACACACGACCTTTGGATTCGCAGCAACCGTCTAGCTGCTACAGCACAGCGGCTCCTGTACGTTATGCTTGAAAAATCAAAGAAGTATCAACCAGGCGTGAAAAAAGAAGAGAAAGAGGCAGACCTTGGAAAAATTAACAGACGGAATAACAGAGTCTATGGGAACTGCACATGTACGAAGCTAGAAAAATAGTTTATGTTTATGCATCATCATAACATCTCCAAACATCATAACGTCACCATAACGTTACCATAACATCACCATAACATCACTGTAACATTACCATAACATCACCATAACACCACCATAACACCACCATAACACCACCATAACACCACCATAACACCACCATAACACCACCATAACACCACCATAACATCACCATAACATGACCATAAAATCAATGTTCGAAATGTGCAGTTTTAAAAACAATTAATAAAAACTTGATTTAAGATACTGAATGAAACTGATTTGAACACTGACTTCCGTGTACTCCTGAATGTCTTTTCATGACCTTGTTTCGTTGTCTTTAACATGACATGACATTGGCACGGATACAATTAATTAAACATTATGTGACTTGGCAAATAATCCAAATTTATACAGAAAATATGAAATGCTTCGGAGGTGGAAGGGGGCGGATTGGCGGGAGAAAGAAAAGGGGTTGGGTGGGCGGGGGGTGTAATTCGAAAATACGTTGCATTTGAATTTGAAAACATATAAGCAAACAATATTATTAAAACGAGATTAAACTAAAACTGGAAATTTAAGTAGGCGGTAAATAGGATTTGGGGTTGGGGGGGGGGGGTGGTAGCAGCTAAATATGCAACGGAAAGTGCGACATAGTTGTGTTTTTCGTTGTAGTCTGATCATCATCTTCCTCTTCCTTCACATCATCATCATAATCAGTAATATCAGAATTGTCAGCATCAGTATAACAATCATAATCATACATATTATCACGAGCTTCATTATAATCACCACTACCATTTTTATTATCAACAATAACAACAGTATCACTACCGTAATATATCATTATCATCATCACCATCATCCTCATCACCAATGTCAGTATTATTATCATCCTTATCAAAATCATCATCATCTTTATTATTACCGTCAACATCTTCATCTTTGTGTGCCATTTCACTAGGCGTCTGTCTCCATCTGACAATGAATTAAAGAGAAATTTGACTAAAAAGCTCAACAAAATGGGAAAGAGGAAAACGTGCACAAAACAATACAACGTAACGTTTCGGCCGGGCAGCCTTTTTCAAACACAAGTGAAATACACAAACGAGGAATGGAGAGTATGTAAATCTCTAAGGGGTGACGTGAGCGACGTTAAAAAAATGTGATGCGGAATAAATGAAACAAAATAAAATAAACGATGGCTAAAAAATATAGTCACAATACTAGGAATAAAAGAAATGCAAGTGTTAATGATACATAAATTATATTGATAAGAAATAGAATATGGTAATAATATGAAATAAAAAAAAATAATTAACATTTAAAATGTGATAACTATTTAGATGAAGGTATGTTGGATATTGATACCTCTTGGATTAAGAACGCCAAGGCTATGGATAAGGCGATTTTCCAAAGCGAGGCGGGTAGTATGATCGCCAGAGCAAGATTTTAATGCTGTGACAGATATGTAACTGTATGTAACAGATATGTAACATATCTGTCACAGCATTAAAATCTTGCTCTGGCGATCATACTACCCGCCTCGCTTTGGAAAATCGCCTTATCCACAGCCTTGGCGTTCTTAATCCAAGAGGTATCAATATCCAACATACCTTCATCTAAATAGTTCTGATCTTATCAAATTTCTCTTGAATTCATTGTATTAGCTTGACTGCAGTCACCCCCATAGTTTCCCCATCAGACACCAACTTCAGAGACTCCTGCGAGTGGAACACGACAAACGTAAAAGGTACAATAAAGGACCCTTGTCCACGCTTTCAGGCGTATCAGCCATATAGTACCAGACCAGTACCGTATATATCAGTAGATGGTGTGGTCCGCCTCTCGTCGGCCGCCTTTACTTCCCATGACTTTAAATGGTACATGATTATTTCTGGCTGGACCTGGGAACCAGTGCAATCTTATTTCAAGGGAGGAAACAGGGGGTGGGGGTTAACCAGGTTCTTCTAACTCGCAGACGAAAGTCTACCCACTGTACCCCTGCAGGATTTCAAGGTAGTTGTGTGTATTTTGACACAGATACAATCAATTTCTTAGACAGAGAGAGGGGTGGATGGATAAAGCCAACATTAGAACGAACGAACTCTATGCTATAGGACATTGCAAGTACTACAGGTACAACTGAATGGCTTGGTCTGACACAAGCTAGGCAGTTTATCTAGGAAATGTAGTCATACAAGATGGTAGAATTTACTGACATAGAAATAGAAACCAGATATCAGAAAGCAACTGCACGTGTATACCAATTGTAACCATTATTAGAATATCCATAGCATGATTTTAAGTGCAAAGAGACAGATTATAAACAGCCTATTCGTTCCAAGGTTGAACTACCAGTGCCAAGCATGGACATTATCTAAAGCTGAGGAAAACCCTTCACCACTTGCCAGATGAGATGACTGAAACAAAATCCGCCAACCTGGCCATCTGAATAACAATACTATCAGATAGACTATTGGAAGTACATCTTTTACTAGATTCAATGCGAAACAGTAGACTGAGTGTTTTGGCCCATCTCGTTAGACTGCAGCAACGTCAAATACCATCACAGACGCTACGTCTCAGAAGATAGCTGCAATATAAAGAGGACGGCTGCGAAAATATGGATCGACATCATAAGGAACAACTGACGCCTTCATGACATGATAATAGACAGTGTCAGTCAGTGTGCATTGGAAAGCAAATTGTTTCTCCCCATGGCGCTTAACGGCGGAATATGTTTATGATCAGGATAAAGATGATGATGATGATGATTGTGGCAAGCCAGCCAGTTTTACATTCTACCCTGCTGGTTGACACTTAACATACATGAATCCATTGATTCATCATTTAACAATAAAAATTAAAGATGAAATTTATGGACAGAGAAACAGACAGATAATATATATAGAGAGAAATACAAGGCATAATGATTGTGAAAAGGTGACAGAGTTTGGAATGTGTGGACGGATGGATGAATGCATGGATGCATGCAAGTGTAGATGGAATGATGCTTGGAAAGAAGAGTTGGTTCGTCGCTAGGTGAGTTGACAGGTATTTAGCAGGTTAGAACGACAAGCTGAAAATCACAAAATACACACAATGCAGATGGACAGCCTGACTGACTGATTGATTGATTGATTGATCGACATATGAATAGACATACAGAAGGACTGATGGAAGGACTGGTAGATAAACAAACAAAAAGTGTATGGACGGCTAAATAGATGGATAAAAAGTTTTAGGTGAGACGGCAAGATAGGCGACAAATAGCCACACGGAAGAATGGATTATTTTGATGATAGGAACATACACACACACACACACATACATACACACACACACATACAAACACACACACACATACATACACACACACACATACAAACACACACACACATACATCCACACACATACATACATACACACATACATACATACATACACACATATACACATACATACACATATACATATACATACACACACATATACACATACATACACACACATACATACACACACATGCACACACACATACACACACACATACACACACATACACACACATACACACATACGCGCACACACATACACACACATATATATATATATATATATATATATATATATATATATATATATATATATATATATATATATATATATATATATATACACACATACCCACACACACACACACACACACACACACACACACACAGGGCCATACACACACATACACTTATGGTTGTTTGTTTTTTCGACGGATCAACATCATTGCACATGGGTGATAAGCCATAAATTTCCCGTTTTACTTCTAAGTCAAGCTTGAATCTGAAGAATCTCAGCGCAGTGCACGAACTCCGTCGCACCGGTGACAGTCCTGAAATACTTTCGGTAGATTTTTAACTCAAAAGTTTGCCTAGGCAGCGGCGTTAGGCTACTCTTTTCGATTTTTAACTACCAAGAAATGTTTTACGTGCGCAAGAATACACACGGGCGTCCGCCTTATTACCTAGAGACAATGGGAAATTACTAGAAGTCCACGTGAGAAACCCTAGCCTTCACCGGGGATTTAACCAAGGGACCTCCAGTACTCGAGGCGGACACCGTACCTTGAGACCACTCAGACGATATGTGTAGATGGATAGATCGATTAATAAATAGACAGCTTTTAGAATTAGAGAATCAATATTCAATATACCACATCGCCTTGAAATTTCTTCAATGTTCGAAAACGGATATCCTCCTAGCCTTTAAGATTATATATGTAGAATCACCATTATTATTATTATTATTATTTTTATTATTATTATTATTATTCTAATATATTCGGATCCATAATTCATGTGATACCACTTTTCAACACTTTGTGCAATAATTTTAAAAAAAAAAAACTTTTTGAATATTTTTCATTTTTATATTAACAAACGACATTTTCTTAAACAAACCTGCAAAGAGAAAAAAGGGGTTGAAAATAAATCAACTAGCACATGCATTAAATGAGGATAATAAGTAGTCGAGATCAGTAAATCGGAGTTAATTCGATATTTCCGGAAGAGGAAACTATCCCATATTCAGCAGGGAAGCTTTCAGGACTAGGAAACCGAAACGGCGGCCACATAATGGGGTAAATTGCAACGAAGATTTGGTTGTAAGATTGCGAAAAGTCGATGAAAAAAAAATGTTTCAGGCAGGAGAAAAAGGAGAAACCAGTTTGGGCCCAAAGAGAGTTAGGTTATTTATATTACGATCAATGACTGCGGAATATACATATATAAGTGCATATGTATCTTTGCATGCTTGTACATGCACATATCTATGTATGTATGTGCGTATGTATGTATGTATGTGCGTGTGTATGTATGTGCGTGTGTATGTATGTGCGTGTGTATGTATGTGCGTGTGTATGTATGTGCGTGTGTATGTATGTGCGTGTGTATGTATGTGCGTGTGTATGTATGTGCGTGTGTATGTATGTGCGTGTGTATGTATGTGCGTGTGTATGTATGTGAGTGTGTATGTATGTGCGTATGTATGTATGTATGTGCGTATGTATGTATGTGCGTATGTATGTATGTATGTGCGTATGTATGTATGTATGTGCGTATGTATGTATGTATGTGCGTATGTATGTATGTATGTGCGTGTGTATGTATGTATGTGCGTGTGTATGTGCGTATGTATGTATGTATGTATGTATGTGCGTATGTATGTATGTATGTGCGTATGTATGTATGTGCGTGTGTATGTATGTATGTGCGTGTGTATGTATGTATGTGCGTGTGTATGTATGTATGTGCGTGTGTATGTATGTATGTGCGTGTGTATGCATGAATGTCTTTGTATGTGCATACATGTACGTATGCTTAACGCAATTAGTGAACATTATAAGCATGATAATGATGCTGAAACGTATGATTATGAGATTAATTGATGATATTGATATTTGTATCTTCAGTAACACAGAGTATATTCTCCCACCCTCTCTCTGTCTCTCTTTCTTTCTTTGTCTCCCTCTCTCACACACACACACACTCTCTCTTACTTTGTCTCCCTCTCTCTCTCACTCTCTCTCTCTCTCGCTCTCGCACACACACACACACACAAGAGCACACATTCTGATTGATTACAACGAAAAAGTGACAATACTTACCACTGCTGCACACAATTTCTGACGTAGTACACAGGAAGTCGCAGATATTTTCTGCATCGCTGCTGGCTTCCTGTATCTGGGCAACCGTGTCTTGGTTTCCGGTTCCGGTCTCGCAAGAGAGCGTTCTGTCAATGCATGTCTTGTAAGTGAATCGGCTGTCATCGTATGACTGCAAGGAGTGACACAGATGGGAGAATTCAACATACCAGAGAAAAATCCCCAACAAGAGATTCGTGGCTCTTTGTCACCCTCTTACCGTGTACCATGTTCTCAGTTACTGTTCTTTCCACTCCACCGTGACTTGAAATGGTCAAAGTATTTCAGTTTCTGCGACAAGATGCTGTTTGCTAGACAATTTTCCTTTCTCTTCAGATCATGTTAACAGTGGCAAGTAATGCAGGTAGAAGCTGTAAGCACCGCTTACATTGCCCAGGGCAAAAGAAACACTCAATTATTTTACTATTTCCTTTTCAGTCCAAAAATCAGGTACCGTCCCTGCAATGAAAGTTTGCTGTAATGATCTCCAACACTTTCTGCCTCCTATCATGATAGTGCACTCTCTCAAACGGCTCTTCGTCCACCTTATGATGTTGTCCTTCCACTTGTCTTCAAGTTTCCCTCATTTATAGTTTTTGAAAGAGTGTTGTCTTTGAATGCTGACGAAATATTTCAATTTTTTCTCTCTTTGTTGGTGTCTTTTAGTAACTATCTTTTCATTGCAGTCCGAATATTTGTTATTTAATAATGTTTCATTACTACTTACTATTTTTTACAAACGCGGCGTCCGTTGCGTTGCGAGTCCGACTTGTAATTACAACGTACCGCAATCGAAACCCACTGCTGGCTGCAGGGATTCTTAACTTCGTAAGGGGCGTCGCAGGTCGACCCAGCCTAAAATGGAAACCAGGATGGTTGTCATGGGAAAGTAAAGACGGCCGGCGTAATGCTGACCAAATTACCCACCCGGCACCGATTGGTCTGTAAAAATATGGGACGCTCTTCACATATGCCTGATGCACCTAAGGCGTGAAAATGGATCTTTACTTTAATATTTATTACAAATACATCATTAGGCGAAAATACCTGAAAGAACGCTCGATGCATGATTACGCCACCTATGAAGAATCCGTAACGTATGAAACCTACCATTTACCTGTCCTGCGATGCTAACAGTTCACGGATACTCTCAACAGCGAGGTAACGAGTAGAAAATATCACGTGATAACCTCTCCAGTGTAATCGTTGCCTGCTAACGCTTACACACTTACGCGAACTGATAATGCATCTCCATTTAGGATATGAATATTTCCTGTAATTTTGGTCCATTGTATGTAAAGAATTTGTATATAACCCTTTACCCTGAAACAGTAATATGCAAACTGTTTTTTCTTTCTAAATCTAACTAACTTAACCTAGTCAACCAGAAAGCTACAACTTACCACAATGGTGGACGTGGTGGTGGTCACACTCGCTTTAGCTGGTGAATTGTTAAGGCTTTGTTCTGTACACAACTGTTTCTGTATCTTGGCAACAGGAGAGGTAGGCACGGAATATGTGGTTATGCGTTGATCGCTCTTTTCAAGTCCGCGATGGTGACTTCCGGGAATGGCACTTCCAGCCGACCGAGTCCGGCGCACTGAAGACTTCCGGGTAGGTTTCCGAATGATAGTTCCGGTTCGAATGAGCATCGACATGGCCGTTATGTAACAGTGGCTTCCGTCCTTTCTTATCTCTTGCTACCTGTAATAAATGTGTGCTTTGTTAAAGATTCAGCCACAATTGCGTGGAAATATAACATTTCTTTACCGCTGCTACTTTTTCCTAAACTGTAAAAATATTTCTTTCGTAACTTTTTGAAGAGATGCATTTTCTTTCGTCAATGAATAAGAAGATTTTAACCCTTGAGGCATGTTTTCACCCCATACGACTCTAAACCACTTCCAGCTAGGTCATATTCTCCGCAAATGTCACTTTTCCGACTTATCTGTAGTAACTTGTTTACGAGACGCATAGTTAATGCTTTTAACTCTTTTCGTTCTTGGGCAAACGTTTAAGAGGTCAGGATATTAACACATTATCTTCGCCTGCTGTACATTATAGTGGATAGTTCTAGTTCGCCCTCTTTAGTTTTGTTCTAGAAATTTATCGTTGCTTGCAAATCCCTTTTACATATGTGGACTATTTGTAAGCACGCTGATGGTTCCTTGCCTCTCAGGCAGATACACTTTGAAGCACCCTTCCCTCCCTAATTAGTCGACTCTTATGACATGCTTGAAGGGAAGACAGTAAGTGTATTCAAGCTTTTTCAACAACGGGGTATCAAAACCCAGTCGGGGATGTGATTGTTGACTTAAGAACTGACATTGTAGCACTTGAATATTCTCATAAGCGCTCCATCCCATCTTCAGCAGCAAGCGCACAATTCTAGTTCTGATAGACTGTAATAGTCCGATTGTATCTCCGTCTCACCTTTCCCTTGAATGATAAACATCGACCGAATTCTGTGATTACTCCTCACTGCATCCTTTTCAGGTCAGTCAGCACTATGTGGGTAATGTGGTCACCATTACGCCGGCCGTCTTTACCTCCCCAGGACATACATCCTGGTACCCATTTTAGGCTGGGTCGACCTGCGACGCCCTATACCATGATAAAAATCCCCGCAGCCAGCAGTGGGTTTCGATTGCGGTATGTTGGAATTACGAGTCGGACTCGCAACGCCTAAGCCACGGACACCGCTTCTTCACACCGGGATGGTCTATTTATGTGTCTGCACTGTTTACTCGCCCCTAAACGACCCTGATGACATCTGGCTCGTCATTAGACGATAGCTGAGGTTTATGAGAAAAAGGTCATATATACATAACAAATGTATGTGTTGTCGTGAGAGGTTCGACTTCATTACACCGGGTTTTATAACATAGGGTCGGGTCTCTCTTTCTCTCTCTGCAGAACGGCTTGACGCCTGTTGAGAGCGCCGCACGGCGCACCACTCCTTATCTCCGGTGACGATCATTAGGAATCTCTGTGAAAATTGCACTCGGGAGCTAAATGTCGCAGCGAGGAAACGAGCTCACGATCTCCAGAGCGCGAGGCAAATGGCTTGACCACTTCGCCACAGAGCCGTATGAGTGCTTATATATGTGTGTGTGTGTGTGTGTGTGTGTGTGTGTGTGTTTGAGTGTGTGTGTGAGAGTGTGTATGTGTGTGTGTGTGTTTCCGTTATAAGAAAATTATAAAGCCGTAATCAATTAACGAGAAGCTGTAAATCCTTTTCTTTTTTCTCCTATTGGATGATTCCGTCAAATAATTCAGGCAATGTTTAAACAGTGTGCCCTTTCGTCGGCTGTTGCGGCATCGGCAATGTAATTATCGTTTAAACTTCACTGAACACCTTACAGCCGAAGCAGATGCAACATAAGTGAGCTTAGTAAGCTTCGTCAGCTAAAATGAGGCCGCGACATCTCCGTTTTCACATCATATTTTAAGACAACTAGTTTGGGTGTTTGAAAGCAAATTACGCGACTATATCTAATCTAATCTATTCTAATAAAATCTAATCTATCTATCTATCTATCTATCTATCTATCTATCTATCTATCTGTCTGTCTGTCTGTCTGTCTGTCTGTCTGTCTGTCTGTCTGTCTGTCTGTCTGTCTGTCTGTCTGTCTGTCTGTCTGTCTGTCTGTCTGTCTGTCTGTCTGTCTGTCTGTCTGTCTGCCTGCCTGCCTGCCTGCCTGCCTGCCTGCCTGCCTGCCTGCCTGCCTGCCTGCCTGCCTGCCTGCCTGCCTGCCTGCCTGCGCGCCTGCCTGCGCGCCTGCCTGCGCGCCTGCCTGCGCGCCTGCTTGCGCGCCTGTCTGCGCGCCTGTCTGCGCGCCTGTCTGCGCGCCTGTCTGCGCGCCTG